CTTGTCATTCCCCTCTCCCTCACCACCCCTTTCTTCCCTTCATAATTAACTTCAGAGATAAGATTCTTGATTTCTTGTGCCCCTTTCCAAGACGAAATAGGCCTCGTGTTCACTACCTCTTCAGTCACAGCTACCTCTCTTCCTATCTTGAAGAATGGATAGTGTCAGGTCACTATTCCCCTCTAAAGAAACACCCAACAACTCACTAGCAGCTCCTATATTTTCAACCATCTAGTCCTTACCCAAGTCAACATCTGTTTCTGAACAACCAGGTCTCTCAATTGTAGGGGTGGCAATTCGTGTTGGCGTGTCGTGTTCGTGTCGACACAGACACGATTAGGGTTGACACGAACACGACACGATTATTAATCGTGTCTAAAACCATTGACACGAACACGACACGATTATTATACGTGTAACACGACACGACACGCATAACCTGTTTAATAAATGAGTCAAGACTTGACACGACATGAAAATACACATTTAAGTCATTTTCGACACGAATACGACATATTTTGCTAAATGGGTCATTTTTGACACGACCACAACACGTTTATCTGACATGTTTAGTTAATTACGTTAATCGTGTCATAATCGTGTTTACAGGGTCAAACACGAACACGACATGTTTAGTTAGCGGGCCAATCCGTGTCGACACGATTATGACACGAACACGATTAGCCCAAACCCTAACCCGCTTATCTCGTGTCGTGTTCATGTCATGTCAAATATTGCCACCTCTACTCAATTGCCAATGGTTCCTCCTCTATCACTTTAAAAAAATAATTCTTCAGCCAAAGGACAAACTCGTTGGAGCAGAATTTTTTTTTTTTCGGAAGATTAAAAAAAATAAAAATCAAATGACAGTCTCTGCCAAAATCAGTAGCCACCTCCTCATCACAGTCTCTGCCAAAATCAAATGACTCTGTAAACGAGTCAGAATCTGTATTGTAGTCTCCCATTCCACTGCTCAAGAAACTAACCAATTTATTCTCCTTATCCCCAACAGACGACAAGCAATTAAAACCTTTCAAGGCTACATAAAGGCGAAGTTCTTTAAGCAAAGCCATAGTTGACTCATTAGACAGCTGAAAGTGAAGGTCTCTCCCTACTCGGACCAAAACCCGTCTGATGAGTCCCGAACTTCACAGTTAAGTGAATCAACTTCCCTGAAGTGACAATTCCGCTTGCAATCTTCCTTGTAACCAGCCCATACTGCTCTAAGGATGAATAATATAGGACATATCTGGATCAGTGGAGATCCATTTCTGTTTATCTTTCCTCGACCATCTATAAACATGGTTGTTTCTGTGAGAATCCCGAGATGAGAGTAGAGCTGCTTCCCACTATCCGAGTAGTAGCTGGTAGGGGCTTGATTGAAGAATCAGCACAACACTGTCGATGACGAAAGCCCTTCTTGTCTATTCCCACACCAGCCTCGTCGGCACTAAATTTCATCCATCTCCTCTTCTCCGGTGAGTTCCAGAATTTCGCAGAGGTAGCATGATGAGGACGACCCCGTAGATGATCAATAATTGGTTCGGTAGCTGGACTGGGTTTTGTGTTAATAAAAGAAACTGACTTCTGATTTTTGGGCCCTCTTCAACCTTTCTTTTTAAATCATCTAATGGCCCATTACGTAACTTAGCATTGTCTTGGCTGACTTGGACAACTGTGGGTTGGGCTTGTCATTGAGGAAGGAAATGGATAACTTATTGTTGGGCCTCCACATAACATTCCTTTTATTTGTAACTTGTAGTCCATGACTGACTAACGACCCATTGTTCAGCCCAGAAGATAGAGGCTCATACTTACGTATGAGCCCATCTGAGTCCACTACATGAAAGGCTATTGTAAAGCCACGTAAATGTCCACGTGATTGATTACCTTCAAGGCGATCAAAACGAGGATTTGAATAGCGTTGATGACGGGTGTTATGCGTACGCCACGGAGGTCTGTCTTCCCGACTCGCAAACGGCGCGTTGGCAAACGCTCTTCTCTTTTCTTGAGAACTCAGTTAAGTCTGCAAATGCCGATGACGTCCACCATTGAATTCTCCATCAGACAAAAGGGGGGAAGCCTCACCAAACCCATAATAGGATTTTGGAAGGATGCAATGTGAGGTTTCCTCAATCAAATTGATCTTAAAGGCCACTCGTTGGTCTTCTACAAAAACATACTTCGGCACCACAGCTCCAGCGGAGACATAAAGGAGAACTCGCTCGCCACTCGCTTGATCATCCACTTCCACACCTCTGAACCCACTGTAGAGGTCTCCGATGGCTTCAAACAACTTGTGGCACCAGAGATGGAGGGGCAATCTGAACAACACCACCCTCACACCACCCTCCGTAACCTGTCACGATCAACCACGGCTGAGCAACCCACCGCAAAGTCCCACTTGTCAAGGTATAAAGAAGCTTCACCCCATCTCTTCCTCCCCACATCCAAGACCCTGCGTGCTTCGGCATCCGATGGTAGATGGAACAGGAAAAGGCTGTCAGGTAGGGTTGAAACTTTTACTCCACACAAAATCTGCCAAGATTTCGTTGCCCACTCCTCGATCCTTTTAGTACACCCCACATCACGATCAAAACGACCAACCAAACAAGATTTCAAGACGGATTCACATTCTGTAATACTCTGATGATCAACCCTAAGAACCACATCTCTATCAATTAAACAACTTTTGATCTTCCCATGGAGATTGAGACATGGTAGGGTCACTACTTTGAGATATAAACGTAGCATGACCTGCCGAAACCAAAGATCCAACACCAGAAAAAGAAACAAAAAAAAAAAAAAAAAAAAAAGAACGACAGACGGCGGAGTAGAAGACTCCAACGTCAAAGAAGAAAAGAAAAGTTGAGGAAAGTCAACCATTAGTCAACTCATCAAATATCAGTGAGCCACAGTAGAAGCATAGAACAATTATTAATGCATATGTAATTATTTTACTTAATTCAACCAAAGTAAAAAATGAACTTTTAAAATAGACCACTTTATTATTTAAGACTCCTAACTCTATCCAAGTGTAATTAAGATTACAAAGAAATGCAGAAAAGCAGCCTGTTACAATAACCATGGGAGAGAGAGATGGTGCCATGCACAGACCCGATTTTTTTTTTTTTTTAATACTACTAATACTAGTGATTTTATCTTTTTTGAATTATATACTTGCGTAATTTTCATATTGCCCCCCTGAAATTACAAAAAAAATATATATATATACTATTGCCCCCCTCACACAAATTCCTGGGTCCGTCCTTGGATGATGCTCAGGTAACAGTCGTGTTATAGCTGGAATTATTAAATAAAAGAAATAGCAACTTTAGTGCCAGGAGTGGACCATTTTACCCTATAACTGGAGTAAAAGATTTGAGATGTTCCATCAATACTTAAATACATTTGTTCCATTGGGATTATTTCTCTCTCTCTCATTTTTTTTTTTTTTTTATGTAAGAACAGATCAAAATAGAAGTTCTCAGCAATGCTGCCATTGCATTTAGCAAGAGATGAGAGTCTGTGTGTCTACATGTGTTAAACAAGAATAAGATGACAAATTATTCCACACACATACCCACCCCCCCCCCCCCCCCCCCCACCCCCCACCCCCCCCGGCGCCGCGGGCGCAGGGCCATAAAAAAAAAAAAAAACCCTTTTCTTTTCTCCACCTCTCACTTCCTTTTATTTGCTCTTTCGTCCCTGTGCATTGCTTCGGCCGAACCTTCTTCTCCAAGGAAGTAAACCACAACAGAGGAAAAGACCTAATCTTGTGGCTTAGAGCACACGAATATCCCATACTGGGAATTGACATATATATCCCAGATAAAATGGGTAAATTAACTAATAAACAGGAAACACATTAATCGGGTCAACTAGGTTTCCAATCAGCTGAGAACATCAACCTGAACCACCTGTGTATCACAGAATGAAACACAAAGCACCCACACAACTCAACTATCATGGTCATTATTGAATGTGTATATACATATGTTCTTTTTGATAAGTGAATTGTTCATCATTTATTTTGATCAACAAAAGAATCAAATCAAACTCGTAAACAAATCCATCCCTCTTGAATGTCATGCCAACACCTAGACTCTATGCTATAATGGCATTGATCAACCATTATAATATTGTATGAAAATAAATAAATAATAATATTTACCCGATCCAATGAGCTAAACTGAACCTAGCAATGTACAATTAGGTTGAATCCTGATCAATGATTTGAACTATAAGCTAAATGGGCCAGTTTGGACCAGAATCTTTTAGTCGATTTGGCAATGGGTTAGTTTTGCCAATGCGACTTTAACAAGCAAGATGAAGATCAAAATGAACTTAACCGATCAAAATGAGTAAAGAGAAATTTTATTCTTTTTCTTTTTCTTTCTAGTGAGGTCATTAAATAACATATGAATGCTGACAATGAATAAAAGAACTAAACAGTCGACACTTCTGACTTTGCGTTCAAATGCTTAACCTAATTCAAATCTGTGCATCAAGTTCATATTCAAATTCAGATTCTATTCATTATCATATTCAAAACTGGATTTTACTACATTCGGACCTGTTTGCATGTTGTTGGAAAATACATGCATATATGGTCAAGAAATGAACTTTATAATCCAATTCGGTTGCAGGAATGAGTAATTTAAGAAAATAACTCAAATAAATATGTCTCCACCTTAAACTCAAACCCAACATTCTCACGCATTTTGGCAACCCACTATTTTACCATCACATTGAGCAACTAACATGAATTCATTCAGTATCAACTCTATAGTGGAGAGCTAGTCATAAATCAAATCAATGTGAAATGGGCAAAAAATAATCAAGGAAAAGCTCAGATAGGAAAAATGGGGAAACAAAATGTAAGAAGGGAAATGAACAAAAAAGTGAAAGAAGTAACTTAAAAAGAAGAGAAAAAAAGGGGGGGGGGGGGGGGGGGGGGTTTGGGGGGGTTGTTTGGAATTGTGGAGGAGAACACATGCCTGCATGAATCGGAAGACAAATAGCTCCATCAAAGTAAGCTCAAGCAACTTTTTCCCAACATAGTTACGAGTCTCTTGGTTTAATAATGCCACCTTATCAACTGGAATTCCTATAGCAACAGAAACCATATAGTGTTAATATATAGATGATAATGAACATTTAAAATTAACTGGTGATGGAATATAATCTACTGGCACTAAATCATTAAAATATCCTCAATAAAAGACTCTCTCTCTCTCCCTCCCTCCCTCTTCTTCTGTTTCTTTTTGACAAGTAAGATTTCATTAGAAACGCTCAAAGAGGAGCACAGCCCAACAACAAAGGCAAGACCATGAAGGTTTGCTACCAATCAAAAAATCTAAAAAATTCACTATATTCCCCACTGATTTACAACAAAGATTTTCTTCTTCTGTTAAAACCAAAGAGAATACAATAATAAAAACTCTGTAAAAGACAATCTCTTTATTTCTTACGTTCTTTGTTTCCCATGTTAAGGAAAACAATTAATTACAATAATGCTAAAAGTCTCTTGGTTTAATAATGCCAACTTGTCAACTGGAATTCCTATAGCAACAGAAACCATATAGTGTTAACATATAGATGATAACGAACATTTAAAATTAACTGGTGACGGAATATATTCTACTGGCACTAAATCATTAAAATATCCTCAATAAAAGACTCCCTCCCACCCTCTGCTTCTGTTTCTTTTTGATAAGTACGATTTCATTAGAAACGCTCAAAGGGAGCACAGCCCAAGAACAAAGGCAAGACCAAGAAGGTTTGCTATCAATCAAAGAATCTAAAAAATTCACTATATTCCCCACTGATTTACGACAAAGATTTTCTTCTTTTGTTAAAACCAAAGAGAGAATACAATAATAAAAACTCAGTAAAAGACAATCTCTTTATTTCTAATGTTCTTTGTTTCCCATGTTAAGGAAAAGAATTAATTACAATAATGCTAAAGTTAAAGACATAACATATGACCCAACCCAACCCAACCCAACCCAACAAAACTTATCCCAACTAATAGGGATATGCTAACATGAATCCTCTTCTTTTTTTTTTAAAGTATTTATTTAAGAGCACACAAAAGGGGGACGCAGCCCAAACAATTACCCAAACAAGAACTATAGCCTTACTATCCACAAGAGGCAAAAGAATCTCCATAAATTTACAATTAAACCCCTGAACCCAAAAACATAGAGAACTAAGAACAGAATATCCGCCAGGAGACTCCACCCCACCCCACCAACAGATCTCCTATTTCTCTCCCTCCATAAGGCTCATCACAGAGAGGGGAGTTGTCCTCCATGCATCTCTAACTTGAGGCCGCACTTGGTATCCTCCCCAAGCATCAATCAAGCTCATCGCGGACTTTGGCATGACCTACTGGATCCTAAAAATGGTACACGACATGTCCCAACCATTCCCAACTCAAAGGCAATGAAAAAGGAGATCATCCACCGACTCCTCATCCCTCTTACACATGCAACACCAATTGACAATAATCTGATGCCGCCTTCTCAGATCATATGATGTCCCACATCGCCTAAGGGAGAGATTTTTGGCACTTAAATGTGTGGACATCCACTAACTATGTAGACACGTTTTGAGGAAAACCATGAGCACCAAGAGGAGAGAGTTCAAAGCGGATAATATCTACACAAGTTGGGTGGGTCATGATAGATGGTATCAAAATCAAACCCCAGCCCAAAATGGGGGGCATGCACAAACCCATGCGGGTTCGGCCAGCGAGGATGCTAGGTCCCAAAAGTGGGTGATTGTGAAATCCCACATTGCCTAGGAGATAGGTCGGCACCTTGGAAGCACGAAAACTTCTACATCAGTGACGTGCTCGTATCTTGTCCGTATCGAATACCAACACTCCTTGGATACTCGCGGATACGTGTCCAATACTTCCTAAACATATCCATAATTTTAAAATATATTTTTTATTTTTCACACATATCCGATACTTCTCAGATACTTCTCAGATACTTTTCAGATATTTCAACTGCATGTCTAATACTTCTCGGTTACTTCAAAACACATCTTTAATAAATTGTAAGCATTAAAATGCAACTTTTCCAACAATACTATCATTATAAATGTTAAGAAAAGTTAAAATTTTCTTTAGAAAAAAAGTATTAAGATATACTACTATGTTATATTTAATTGCTTCTTTATTTAAAACATATTAATGATTGCATTTAGATTCATAATATTATATTAAAAAAAAAAAAAAAAATGCACAAAAATTAATTTATTGTATATATAAAAATATAATTTTTTATCGTCGTATCCTTGCCGTACCCGTATCCTGCTTTTTAAAATTTGTTGTATTACCGTACCCGTATCGTGTCATATTTGTATCACGTATCCATGCGTCCTAAGTTGTCATTTATATGTGTGTTCACCAAAAATAAGCCACCTTCAGGGGGGTTTTCAAGCGCCAGATTCCTTTGCACGGAAAATATCTCCCCTGAACATCCATCAATCCGCAATAAAAGAAACACACCTTAAATCTCCCGTGGCTCGAACCCGTCCAAAACCACTCGATCCATCCCTTCCCCCTTCCCCAAATTGACTACAAATCATAGCAAAAAACTCAACCATATCCCCGACATCCTAATCGTACAAGAACCTCTCGATATATATTACGTGACTTTACCTCAATGGTGTAGTTAATAATCTCATTACACATAACAAAACCATCTTAATTGGATTGGTCTCATTGGTGCTACTTTTACCGTTTTAAGGATGTAATAATTTCCTATGTTATCCTTTCTCACCTTACCACACATTCATCCCAACATCCACATTTTGATTATTTTTACTTTATTAACATGTCTCTTGATCGCCAACATTATGTGCCATAAATTATAGTTGGTCTAGTGACCATTATATAGAAATTACCTTTTTAATTTTAATGTTGTGTTCAGTAGGAAAGAAAGAATAGGTGTGGAGAGAAAATAGGAACGAAGGAACGAATTTCCTTTATTCGGTAGAGATGATACAAGGAAAAAAAGGAAAATAGGAAGGATGATCTATCCTTCCTCTACAAATTTTCATTCACCCAAAAATGGGCAGAAGAAAGGACGGTAGATAAGTGGACTATTACAGAAGTTTTAAATTAAATATTATCCTAAATTATACAAGTTTCAAATTACAGAACTATCCTTTATAAATTACAATATTATAAATATTATTGGATATAATGGTAAAAATAATTATCCTACTTTCCCCGTTCTTGTTCCTCTTCGTGATGGAGGCTCTCAGTAGGTTGATGAGGAGGACTGTTGAGTTGAGCTTTTTGAGAGGGTTCCGGGTGGGTAGAGATGTTGCTAGTCAGTTAGAGATCTCTCACTTGATGTTTGCTGATGATACGCTTGTGTTGTGTAATGCGGAGGAATTCCAGCTCAGGTATCTAAGATGTGTCTTGATCTAGTTCCAAGTTGTTTCCGGCCTGAAGGTGAATGTTGGCAAGAGCATTTTGGTGCCAGTTGGGGAGGTTCATGAGATCGCTTTGTTTGTTAGTATTCTTGGTTGTCGCACTGGCTCTTTTCCTATCTCTTATTTAGGGTTGCCTCTGGAAGCTCCTTCGAGGTGTGTGGGAGTCTGGGATCCAGTTGTGGATAGGCTTGAGAGGAGGCTTGCGGGATGGAAGAAACAGTATCTTTCCAAGGGGGGGCGGGTCACTCTGATTAAGAGTACCCTTTCTTGCCTCCCTACTTGTTTTATTTCGCTTTTCCAGATTCCCGTCTCTGTGGCTGAGAGAATTGAGCACTTGTAGCGTAATTTTCTTGGGGGGGGGGGGGGGGGGGCAGGCTTATTCATAATGGTGGGTTAGGGCTTCGTAGATTGGTGCCTTACAATAAAGCTCTCCTTAGAAAATGGTTGTGGAGGTGATTGAAAGCTCTCCTTAGAAAATGGTTGTGGAGGTTTAGAGTGGAAAGGCATTGGTTTTGGCAGAGAGTTGTTGCAAGTAGGTTTGGGGAGAGCAGAAGAGGGTGGTGCTCTCTTGAAGTGCGTGGTCCGAGGGGTGTGGGGGTCTAGAAGTGCATTCGGAAGGGTTGGTTTGATTTCTCCTTGAACGTCCGATTTAGATTCAGGGATGGCAGGAGGATCAGTTTCTGGGAGGATGTTTGGTGTGGGATATTTCTCTTGCTCTCGCTTTTCCACGGCTTTTTAGGATTGCTTCGAATAGGCAGGCTATGATAGTTGACTGTTATCATCTTAATAGTGGGAGACTGGTGTGGGATGTTCAGTTCAGGCGTCTCTTTCAGGATTGGGAGGTTGAGGATGCCATTCGTCTATTGGAGTTGTTGTATCGGCAGGGAGTCACGGTTGGGGAGTCTGATGGTTGGATTTGGGCTCCCAGTGCACAGGGTCGTTTTGATGTGCAATCCTTCTTTAGGTGTCTTTTTGTGGAGCCTAGAGGGCCTTCCCGTGGAAGTCTATTTGGTGTCTAAAGCTCCTCTCAAAGTGGCCTTCTTTACTTGGACTTTTGTGTTAGGCAAAATTTTAACCCAGGATAATTTGAGAAGGAGAAATCAGGAAGGTGGTCAATCGGTGCTACATGTGTCTTAGGGACGAGGAGACAGTGGACCATCTTCCTTTGCATTGCCCCATGGCCAAGGATTGTTGGGATTTGATGCTTGGCTTGTTTGGGTTCCAGTGGGTCATGCCCCATTCCGCCAGAGAGCTGGTTGAGGCTTGGAGAGGGTGTTTTGTGGGGGGCCAAGTTCGTGATGCTTGGAGGGCTACTCCTCTCAGTGTGTGGTGGTGTATTTGGCTTGAGAGCAATAGGAGATATTTTGAGGGGAAGGAGAGGCTTATTTCTTTTCTTAAGTTACCTATTATTTCCACTCTTTTTTGTTGGGTCTTAGGTAGAGATTATAGATCTTTAGATGAAATTGTTATTTTTTTGGACTCTTTGAAAGTGTAATGGCTGTTTTGGCCTGTTTTTGTTCCCTTGGGATGCGCTCCCCTTTTGAGCGCTTTTTATAAAATTCTTACTTATCAAAAAAAAATAATAATAATAATTAACTTTCTATTTCCTTCCCTCTTAACAAACATAGTAAATAATGAGCTTATTCTCTTCTCTTCTATCCAACCGAACAAAAGAAGGAAATACATAATCTCTACCCTAAGGATGTCTTATCCATCCCTTCTTCTCTCTCTTCCATCCAATTTTTTTCCTTCCTACCGTACAGAGCATAAATGTATAAATTGATCATAAAATATGCTAGAAGCATAAGAAATCATTATTTTACCTAGCTCTTTAGTGAGGGGGGAAAAACATTGTTCCAAATACTTAAGCTGGCTGCATGAATTCTTTTAGCAAGAGGAAAATGTTATCACTATAAATAACTTTGTTTTCGCAACATTATTAAAAAAAAAAAATTAAAGAATAAATTATAATTGAACAAATGTAGTGACTATATTGCAGCTACTTGAAGCAACGACATGGCTTTCCTTCCAGAGTGGTTATGCTTAATAATAGTATAACTAATTTATCCTGCAGCACTCCCAATCCTAACCAAGATATATTTTGATAGTGTTAACTTTACTATACTTGAGCAATAAGTTGTTACCGTATATATATTGGACTTTCTTTTCTTTGTTATAATATACTTGTAGAACAAGTCTCTTCTATTCTTTAACTACAAGTATTTTCCAATTCACGTATAAATAGAGGTGGGCCACTGTAAATGAAATTAAGAGAGAATATGATGAAAGAGATGTAACCCTTTGGGCTTTTGTGTGTTGTGGATGTAGTTTGTAGTGGCCGAATCACGTTATATATTCTTGTTAGGCAAAAATTGCTGAATTTTTGCCATAATTTTACACGTTGCATCATTTCGTGGATTTCTTTTTCATGTCAACTGTATAATGATAACATCAAAGGAGTGTCTTCGTGACCATATCATTTAGGGGGAGCTTCTACACCGGATGACATTATCCATTGTCATCTCATTATTGCTGCTGAGTAATTTTGGTATGCTAAAACTCATATTGTTGGCTATATGCCAAATTTTCTGATCAAGCGTTAGAATCATGAACCGTTGCAGACCCTATGTTCACTTATTGCAAAGGTGATTCTTTGACCTTTGTTGTGGTTTATGTTGACGATATCATCATAATTGAAAATGATTATTTGGCTATTAAGTGCCTCAAGTAACTTCCTCAAAAAAAAATTTATTAAAGATTTGGGCAGACTAAAATATTTTCTTGGCATCGAGGTTGCCCGTTCTCATAAGGGTATTTTTTTTCTCTCGAATACAATTTGAACAATCTCAACTTGTAGATAGCTTCACCAAACTCTTGATCCGTTTTATGGTTTGATATGCAAGCTAGGAGTTATTTTCACACACCCACTACCTTGAGGGGGAGTGTTAACATTACTATACTTGAGCAACAAGTTGTTACCATATTTATATTTGACTATCTTTGCTGATGACACTTTAGTTCTTTGTGATGCGAATGTGTCCCAGATCAGATATCTGAGATGTGTTTTGATTTGGTTCCAAGTTGTCTCTGGCCTTAAGGTGAATGTGGGCAAGAGTGTTTTGGTGCCGGTTGGGGAGGTCCTTGAGATTGAGGCTTTTGCTGACATTCTTGGTTGTCGTACAGGTTCATTTCCCATTTCTTACTTAGGTTTGCCTCTGGAAGCTCCTTCGAGGTGTGTGGTGATTTGGGATCCAGTGGTGAATAGATTTGAGAGAAGGTTGGCGGGTTGGAAGAAGCAGTATCTTTCCGAGGGAAGCAGGGTCACACTCTGATTAAGAGCACCCTCTCTTGCCTTCCCACTTATTTTATCTCTCTGTTTCAGATTCCCTCTTCAGTAGCGGAGAGGATTGAGAGGTTGCAGCGTAATTTTCTGTGGGGGGGTGGAGGTGAAGAGTTTAAGTTTCATTTGGTGCGATGGGACCAGGTTTGCAGGCTAATTCGGAATGGTGGGTTAGGTCTCCGTAGATTGGTGCCTTTTAATAAGGCCCTCCTTGCAAAATGGTTGTGGAGGTTTGGTGTGGAGAGACATTGGCTTTGAAGGAGGGTTGTGGCTTGCCGTTTTGGGGAAATGAGAGGAGTGTGGAGTTCTCTGGAAGTAAGGGAACCTCGGGGGGTGGGGGTCTGGAAATTTATTCGGAAAGGTTGGGATGATTTTTCCAAACACATTCGGTTTCGTCTTAGAGATGGGAGGAGGATTTGTTTTTGGGAGGATGTGTGGTGTGGTGATATTCCTCTCGCCCTCGCTTTTCCTCAGCTTTACAGGATTGCTTTGGATAAGCAGGCCATGGTGGTTAACTGCTATCATCTTGATAATGGGAGACTGGTTTGGGATGTTCGATTCAGGCGTTTCTTTCAGGACTGGGAGATCGAGGAGGCCATTCGTTTCTTGGAGCTGTTGTATCGCCAGAGGATTGTGGAGGAGGATTCAGATTGTTGGTCATGGGTTGCAAACTCCCATGGGCGGTTTGAGGTGAGGTCTTTCTTCAGGTGTCTCTCGTTTAATCCTGGAATTCGTTTTCCTTGGAAGTCTGTTTGGCGTTCTAAGGCTCCTTTCAAGGTGGCTTTCTTTGTGCGGACTTCGGTTCTGGGAAGGATCTTAACCTAAGATAATTTGAGAAGAAGAAGCCAGGTGGTGGTTAATCGTTGTTATATGTGTCTTCGTGATGAGGAATCAGTGGATCACCTTCTCATTCATTGCTCTTTGGCTAGAGAGTGTTGGGATTTGATGCTTGGCTTATTTGGTTTTTCTTGGGTTATGCCAGGATCCGCTAGAGGATTGATTAAGGCATGGAGAGGTTGCCCTGTGGGGGCTCATTGTCAGGATGTGTGGAGGGCTACACCGCTTTGTGTGTGGTGGTGTATTTGGCTTGAAAGGAATAGGAGATATTTTGAAGGAAATGCGATGTCGATTTCGGTGCTTAAATTCTCAATTCTTTCCACTCTTTTTTGTTGGGGATCATAGTTTGATGGAGGAGATTGTTGACTTTTTGGCCTCCTTGAAGGCTTGAGACCTTTGTGGTCTTTTGTATTTTTCTTGGGATCCGCTCCCCTTTGAGTGTTTTTTAATAAAATTTTATTTATCAAAATAAAAAAAAAAAGTCTTTTCTTTATTATACTTGTAGAGCAAGTCCTTTCTATTCTTTAACTACAAGTCTTTTCCAACTCACGTATAAATAGAGGTTGGTCATTGTAAACAAAATTAAGAGAGAATATAATGAAAGAGGTGTAGCCCTTAAGGCTTTGTGTGCCATAGATGTAGTTCGTAGTGGTCGAACCACGTTATATTCATGTGTTTTTCTTTCTTTATTTCTCTCTTCAATTTTAACAGATAGAAAGGGAAGCGAAGTTTAAGAATACTCAATTAACATAATAGCATTACTACTAAAAGAAGTATTTTGCTATGCAACAAGATTATAAATACATATATGATTATATGTGTTATTTTGAATCAAAACTGCAGGAAGCTGTCACACACTTCTTAAAGTGTTAATAATTTCTGATGAAGTTTTCCTTACCAGATTACACAAACCTCATAATTTATTTACTTATTTTTTAAAGAAAAAAAAAAACACACGCACAAAATATATAATACATTACCAGGAACAAGTTCTGTAGTCAAAACTCTTTTACTTGAAATACCATCCACGACTATAGGAACATAAAACCCTTTCACGTTGGATAGCAGATTACGAAACCTTTTTTGATTTGCTGCCTCCAACTCATAGTCACATTCACGAGATAATTCTTCTTTTGCCACCTGTGAAAAAAAACACAAGCACTTACATTTAGTAATTTCACACACACACACTCACATATATATATCCATTATCTATTCAAATACAGAACTAAGAGCCCTTATAAAATATATGGGTATACGAAGAACTGAAATTGTTAGAGTAGCATATTAAGCTATCATTTTTTTCCAGATTGCCTCTGTAACATATAAAGGTAAATGAATAAAGTTTCAACTTTCTAAAACCATACAATATTATCCTCCTCAACAATTTAACAACAAAGGATTGCCAAAAGATGGGAAAAAAAAAATATATATATATATATATATATATATATATATATATATGTATAAAATATGTGTTTATCTATAGAGAGAGAGAATCCTGACAAGTCAAAAGCTGAAATCAAATAAAAGACAAAATGAGACTTGGCCACTTGAGATGATTTGTTCATCTGCAACAAAATTTTTACTTGCAGGAATCTAATTAGCAAAATAAAAACAAGATTTAAAAAAATATAAATTGTAATATATTAATTTTACAATAGAAATCTTATTATATATTCTTAACACATAAGAGGATTCAAGATAAAATTATTTATTAACCCAATATATTTCATAACCCATTAAGCGCACAAAATGAGAAGAAGAAAGGTTATACGGATTATATTTGTTTTTTTTTTTTTTTTTTACAATTTTCCCAAATGAAGGCTTCCAAAACTATGACTAAGACCAGCTCAATTTGAGATTTTTCATAGGGCAAGGGGCAAGTTTAAATTCCTTTTTTTTTTAATATATATTTTTATCAAACTCACTGTTCATAGGGTTTCTGTAAATTTTCAGGAGGATCGTGGTTCCACTTAGTCCCATAGTAGGTCCAGTTTCATCTCTGCTTTTGAAGAGGATAATGGAAGATAGGAGCAAGTGAAGCCATAATATGGATGAAGATCTAAATTAGCAGCAAAACCAAGCCCAAGCTTGAACGGAGTCCTGACACAGTAGATGTAGAAAATGCAAAAAAGAATAATTGTGAAATGGAAATTTCACATGAAGGGTGCACGAGACGTCCTGTAATTGAGTTATTCTTCTCCTCCGATTAACCTTCACCAAGGACCTGACGTGGCAAACCTCCTCCAACCCAAACCAAAAAATAACGTAAAAGTGCTAGTGCAAACCAGAACAACCTGGATTTCCTTGGTTCCATCCCAAAACTCTACCCCCACTGGGTCTTAATCAATCGTAATACTTTTCTTACCCTTTGGCAGTTAGCTTAACACACAAACTGCATAATGGGCAGCTATACAATTCCAGCAACTTCTAAAACCAAGTTTGTTCCCTCAACATTCCATCTGGAAACCCAATGATTCCCATTTACACCATAAAATTGCAAGCCTTCCATAAGCAGAAACCAGTACAAACCTGACAGTAGCCAACATTATTTGGGTTTTCTAAAATTGTCCTGAATCATTAGTTGAAAAACTCATTTCATGGGCTCCTCGCTATGTCACTCGGAAAAGAGGCTGATTTCAGGTTGGCCAACATTGAGAAACTTAACCAAAATTACTTGGTATTGTAACTATTTGTTAAAACAAGCAGTTGAACCTAGAGCTCCGTCCTGAAAACAAAATCTTTTTCCAGCAATTCAAATTAAACCGTGCAATTGTAGAACATAATATAAATTACATAACAAATCTAATATATACATAAATATAATAATATCGGCTACATATATATAATAACCTCAGGTAGGGTTAGTCCTCCCATGACTAGTCAAGCTAAGGCAAAGATTAACCTTAATTCAAATTCCAACTCTGAACCATGAACATTAGCATGAAATCAGCTAATCAGAATTTCAGGCTACTGAGCTGCACTCATGACAACTCAAACCAACTTGCAGTTCCAATGGGAGGTCTAAACGAACATGGCCGAGGTTGTGAAAAAAAAAAAAAAAAGGATGGCCTATGATATATATATATATTGATAAGTAAGATTTCATTAGAAAAAGGCGCTCAAGAGGGGAGCGCTCCCAAGGAATACACAAGACGCCAGAGGCAACACTAAAGCTTTAAGCTATCCACAAAATCCAAAAGATGCCCCCAAAGATGTACAATTACGCCCATAAACCCAAAAGAATAAAGTATGTAGAATACAATATTTAAGAGTCCAAATAGGAGTCTCCTCTCCCTCAAAGGCTCTCCTATTCCTCTCACGCCACAAACCCCACCATAAACAAAGGGGAATAGCCCTCCAAACATCCTGACTCGGCTCTCCAATAGACACCGTCTCCAAGCCTCAACCATCTCCACTGTGAATCTTGGAAACACCCAAGACACACCAAACGCAACCAAAAACAAAGCCTAAATATTCCTCATCACTAAGCAATGAAGAAACGGAGCCTAAATATTCCACAGTTTCCTCTAACCTCTTGCACATGCAAGACCAATTAACCACGATCTGCCTTCTCTTCCTGAGATTGTCGAGAGTGAGAATGCTTCCATCAGCAGCACACCGCGCAAAAAATGTCACCTTCAAGGGGGCTTTCGCCTCCAAATCACCTTCCATGGGAAAAAATGACCTGGAATCTCCACAAGACTATGATTAAAAAAACCCTAACCTGAAACACCCCTCTTGGCAGACCCATCCACACAATCTCATCCATCCCCACCCCCTCCACCTCCTAGCTATAGAGCAGAGTTAGGAACTTAGCAACCTCTGTAAGCTGCCAATCATGAAGCTCTCTACGAAACTGCAAATCCCAAGTCAACCTCCCACTATCAAGACGATAACAGTCAGAAACCAAAGCATGTATACTTGAACAAATCATGAACAACGAAGGGAACCTACAAGCCAGAACAATGTCTCCACACCAGAGATCCTCCCAAAACCTTATTAGATTCCCACTCCGAACTTTGAACCAAATACGTTTGGAAAACTCATCCCACTCTTCCAGATCAGCCTCCAAATGCCCATACCTGTTGGAAATCTCACATCCCTAGATAACCACCCACCATCACCCTCCCCATACCGGCAAACAATGACTCTCCTCCATAAACTCGCACCCAAACCTCTATAACCATTTACCCAACATAGCCTTAAACAAGTCCAATTTTCGGATACCCAAGCCCCCTTTTTAGATAGGTAAGCACACCTTCTCCCAGTTTACCAAATGGTATTTAAACTCATCACTAGTGCCACCCCACAGAAAATTCCTCTGAATCATATCTAATCTTTGCATAGCAGTCTTCGGCATTGGAAAAAAGACATAAAATAGATAGAAAGATATGAAAGAGTGCACTTCATAAGGGTAATCTTCCCCCCTTTCAAAAGATACTGCTTCTTCCACCCAGCAAGTCTTCTCTCGAATCGCTCAACCACGGGATCCCAGACTGAAATCTCCTCGAAATTGCCCCCAAGGGAAGACCAAGTGATGCAGGAGCATCCAAGGCTCTCCAAGACTAATCGGGCCCACTAGCCAACTAGGCTTGGGTTCTAGTTATCTTAGGATTTTAGTTATTTGCTTATTTTCTGTGCTTCTTATGTTTTATGTTATTTGGTAGATGATAGTTATAGTCCTGGTCTTTTTAAATGGTCATGTGACTATCATGTGAGTAAAGTATTTTGGAGGGTTAGGATTTATTAGTTATTAAAGTAATCAGGCTAGGATGCTAGGGTTGCTGTAACCCTACTATAAATAGTCTATTAAGAGACTTTGTAAGCAGTTTTTATTCCAGAAAATCAGATTTAGAGTTTCTCTCGGGTCTCTTTGCCCTAGAACTCACCTATCTACGTTCCACTTTGATTCTATTGCTTTCTCTCTCTATTTTTTCTGATTGTTTATTGCTGGAAATCCCTTTCCTTCGTGGTTTTACACTGCTACAGTTGCAGGACAACATCTTATTGCTACTGCCCAAAATCAAATTGGTATCAGAGACCAACAAAACCCTAAATCTACACCATGGTTGGACGTGGTAGAGGTCGTGGAAGAGAAAACCAAGCCCAACAAACAGAGATGACTGAGATGCGGCGTATGATTGAAGATTTGTAAAGAGCGGTGCATGCTCTTCAACGACATGAACGTGCAGAAGCCCGTATGGAGATTCCGGAAGGCAACTGCGGCCCCTTGGACGTACCGGAAGGCAGTCTTGAGGATGAATATTTTGAGGAAGAAGAGGAAAACCCCTTTCATGATGCTAGAAATCGAGAAAATCCGGATCACGGCGGATTGGAAGAGTGGTTAGTTCATACACTGGATTTGAATGGTGGAGGAATTAAAATTGAAGTTGTTGATTTCTATGGAAAGATGCACGCCGAAGATTATTTAGATTGGGAGGCAAGCTTGGAGAATTACTTTGAGTGGAAGCCTATGGCCGAAGATAGAAAGGTGTTGTTTGTAATGCTCAAGTTGAAGAGTACTACACTTACATGGTGGAAGAGAGTTGAAGAACAGCGTGCTCGGCAAGGGAAGCAAAAAATCAACACATGGGAACATATGAAATCAAAATTGTGAAAGCAATTTTTGCCCGTTGACTATTCAATGGAGTTGTATGAAAGGTTTCATAGTTTGAAGCAACAAGACATATCCGTTGAAGAATATACATCTGAGTTTAATAATCTCTCGATTCAAGTTGGTTTAAACGAGAGTAATGCACAATTGACATCTCGTTATCTCTCTGGTTTGCATCACTCCATTAGAGATGAGATGGGGGTGGTCCGTTTGTTCAACCTAGAAGATGCTCGACAATATGCCTTAATGGTGGAAAGAGAGTACTGCATCGTGGCGGCAAGAGAGTTGTTTCTGGTCGCCCAGATGCTGTTTAGCAGAGAAGTACAACTGTTTTTCGAGGTGTTCGAAGTGCTCAGGGTGCTATCCCAAGTGCCCAAACAGGAGGTAGTAACATTTGGGGTGCTGATAGGAGTGAAAAAGGGAAGGAAATAGTAAGATTTAGACCACAAAACAATGCTGGTGTAAGCAATTCAAAGGGTGGCAGCACTTCACAAGTTCGTTGTTTCACTTGTGGAGAGAA